TAAACAAGGCCTATTACCTTTTACTCTTATTAAAACAGCTTCAAAAACTTTACAAACCTATGTAAGAGATAACGTCCCATATGAATTACCAATATACATAAAAAGAAGAGTTATTTGGATTTAAAAAATTAAATGAATAAGCAGAATGCTATGTAAACATGAAGAGAAATAATTATATTGTTTTACCACTTCTCAAATAGGTTCTCAGAATACCAGGACATACTTTATTCTTTTTCAGATGAACAGTTATTAATCTCATTGTTAAATGGTCCTCACTCTGAATCTAGATATATTCCTCAGGTATTTAGTTTCTGTTTAGTTACTGACAACAAAAAGAAATGGCATATAAATAGCACCCAAAGTTAGAAATTATTACCTGAATAGAATGAACCCAAGAGATTCTACTGCTGCCCTCCTGACATCATCATTAACGTCACTTACCTAAGGGAAAAAGTTTAAGATGCTTATATTATACCACACATTCTATTACTAGACTAAACTGATATGAAGTCCACATCATTCAAATGTAAATTAGACCTCATTAATATATTATTTCTTAATAGAATGTTTTTTCCCTCATTATGCACATGTATATCAAAATATCATGTTGCACACCTTAAACCCATAATAAATAAATTCAAAAAATAAAAAACACGTATTTTTAAAAGTCTTTCGCCATTTTATAAAATGTCATTGGATAATTTCATTTTAGGGCTGAGAAGTCTTTAAAGCTTGGTAAAGTTTAAGATTCAAGGCTACTTAAGACTATTTCAGCTGCATTATAGCTTTTGTGGGGTACACTGAAAATCTAACGATTCCTTCAGTGTTATTTCCAAAAAAAATATGGCAAGCACAATATGAGCATTTAGAACACACCACATACTGCACTGACAAAGGAAAAATTACTAATAAATATTGGGGATGTGATCATCTCTGGGAAAAAGGAGTTAATAACAGTTCTAAGCCTTTCTGCAAGGGAAGGTGCCCTTGATTTACCTTCTCACAGCACCATGATGATAGAAAACTACTGAATTAAAACTTATGTGGAATGTCTACCGTGTGGCCAGGCAATATTACTGCTGATAAACTACACCTGTATTAAGAGGACCATGAGTGGAGAAAGCCTTTTGGAAAACATAGGCATTGGCTTTCCTGCACAGTGCGTCTTTTATAATAGAGCATGTCCCTTAGGGGTACCTGGAAACTAACTTCACTGGCTGTAAAAAGAAATAGTTGCTGTTGTTCATTAGATTTCCCTATCCCCTAGGGTGGTTGCACACACTCACATGGTCTCATCCCCCATACAAATGAGGGTGGTCCCTTGGAGTGGGGTGCACCTGAATGGCTTTAAAGACTTCCATTCATACAGACACAGTTAAAGTTTAGTGAACTTAGTACTAGGTTATGGCCTACTATGTCCAGTGAGTAAGAACCTCAATCTGAAACCACTGGTGTTGGTCATGTGGTGTGGGTGCTGCAGTCACCTAGACACTTACTGTCCATCTGCAAACTTTCCCTTCTACCCCATTCCCAAGAAAGGTCAGTGTACTTACAGCAACATGTAGCAAGCGTCGAATAGCTTTGTTGTTACCAGAGCCACAATAGGCCATGGCTACAGTATACATCCCAGACCGTCGAAGAATTGGGTCCTAAGAAAGAGTAATTCAACATTAATCATCAACATACCATTTTAAACAGTGACTTTTACAGTCTCACAGGTAAAGTGGCATCCATCAGGTAAGCTGGTTTTAGGTAGGAAATGATGAAGTCAAGGAGAACTCTTTTGTAGTTGGTAGTTTTCTAAATCAATAGAGAAATAAAAGACTCTAATATAGAAGGAATTAACTGTTCTTAATTATGTGCAATATTCCTGTGTAATATTATCCTGCCTTATACTTTCCAAGATATATAAACTCAAGTCAATACTAACATCCATCCCTATGGCAGTCAACTTCCATTTATCAAAGAAGTTGGCTTCTAATTCCACATTCTGATTTTTACCTTATCATTTAATTCCTGGGCACTGACTGCTGAGTCAAAGAGATATGAAGTCTAATAACTGAACAAATTAATTAGTAATTTTATCAATAAACTATAGCAATGGTTCTTTTAAATCAGATTAAACAGGGCAGTATTACTTACCCCTGATGACCTACCACATATAATATCATTGTAAAACAACAAACAAAACAAAACACAATGGAAAAAACCTCACCTAAATAAGTATAGAGATTAGTACTGTTTTCTGATGAAAGAATAATGAAGTGAACTTTATATCTTATAAAACAACTATAAAATCATTCCAAAAACATTACTTCTAAAAGTTGATTAGCTTTTAAATTCCTAAAGAACTATTCTGGATCTGTTTATCTGAATATCACCGATCTGACACTGTGGCTAAATTGAAAACCCTCAAATTACTCCCATTCACCTCTTCTAAACAGTGTTTTTCTTTCTTAAATTCTATTAGGCTTTATATATTTTCTAAGAAGTTTCATGAACAAGTATCTAGGTGTTCTGATGGGAAAAAAGTTAATTTCCAGTGAAGATAAGTGTTTTTTACATGCTACAGATAGCTGGAGAATGAGGGAGGGATACAGGGGAGAAGAGGATAAATGTGATCATACCTTATCACGACAGAGAGATTCAATGAGAGCATCAGCCTCTTCCATCCTCCCATACATCACTAATGCAATGCCAACTGCAAGACCACGCAGAATCTTCTCATGTTGAGTTTCTTGTGCATAGCCAACCATGTCCTCAATAGCCTGGGCATTTTTAGAGCCCAACATAACCAAACCTAGGGCCAGGCCAGCTGCCTCCCCTAACGAGTAAAGAGTAAAACATTATTAAGGGTTGTATTTGTAACTCAAGTTAATAAACATCCAATTGAAAGTACCACCTACTAACATTAACTACCAAAAGAACCATTAGTTTCTGATAGCATTTTTTCAAACCACCTGATAAAAAGGAGGATACTTTATGTGGCAGTACATCCATACATTTATAACTGTTTTCCTTCTGAACTTTGACAGAATGTACCACCAAATCCTACAGCGATTTCAAAGAAGACATTATGACAACATTTTTTCTACATTATCAACAAGCAGTATAGAATGATAAAAGTAGATCGCTTTAATAAATCCTATGTGCAAAAATCCAATTATACAAGCAGACACACAAGATATACCATTTCAGAAAGCCTATATATATCACAAAACATGTTTTCAAAAGATAAGTCTGACACAAGGAGCAAAATCTACTCCCTCTTCAAGTAGAGGAATCCATTAGAATTGTAAAAGGCTACAAAATATAGGTAGAAAACAAATATTGCAATTACATTAATTAATACTAAAGTTTGTTGTCTTTAGAAAGAAATGCCTACCTGTCACAGCATCATCCTGATAAAGGTTTGTTTTTAGCAAATCATACACATCTTGGCGTGCAGTTCCCATGGCAGCCAAACCAAGGCCCAGACTGCCGCCATGTCGAACAATCTAGGGGAAAAAACATTGACTCCACTGATTTGGTACACTGTACTTAAAATCCAAGCTTTCATTCTAATTTCAAAATACATTCTGATATTGAATTTGCAGAGGTTGGCTCAGCAATAATGATCAAAGGATTTGATAATCAGAAGGTCAGTGGTAACCTGACCTCAGCAATTTCAGTTTCAGTAGAATGATGCTTGCTGTTACAAAATAATGAGTTGACCCCCACCTGCCCCACCTGTCCACCTGCCCCTCCCCCTCCCTGTCCCATACATAAAAAAGAAAAAAGAAGGAAAAAAATTAAAATTAAAAAAAGAAAAAGAAAAAAATAATAATGAGTTGAGAAGTGAACGGGAGAAAAAAGTTGACAGAGTACAACTCTCTTTCAAAAAGTTTACATGAGAAAGAGAGGAGAAAGAGAGGAGAAAGGCTGGACAACAACCAAGAGGGAGATGTAAGTGTCAAGGAAAGATTTTTTTTTTAAGCATAGGCAAGACCTGAAGATGCTTATGGGCTGAAGGAAAGGAGGCAGTATAGAAGGAGAAGCTAAGGACAGAGGAGAAAAAGGTATTTAATGGAACATGGTTGTGAAAAAAGTGCGAGAAAGAGTACAAAGTTGATCTTCATTTGAAAAGGAGACTTCAGTGGTTATCTGTCAATTTTGAATGCATAGTATCCTATTATTGGTAACAGCACCCCAACCTTGCTTTGGGAATACTTCTGCCCCATTGGTTAGTCTTGGGAGGACTGTCATTTAAGAAGCTCCCACCTTCCCCTAGCCAAAGTGTGGGCCTGTAACCCAAACCAGGCCAATAGGATGTTCCTTCTCTGGAATTTTAATCTTTCTCAAGCAGAATGACACAATGACCAAAAATGTTTCAAGTTCATTTATCCTGATTTCAGGGTCTGAAAAGATAATTCTGAGTTCCTGTCATGTAGATCCCTGGAACTGCCCTGGCTCTTAACCTTTGTGAGAACTGATTCATTTGTTTTTCTATTAATTATTAATTTATAAGCTATTTCCAATAAACTCCTAGTTTAAGTTAGTCAGAGGAGGTTTCTAATGCTGTCTACTGCTGTTGTTTTTTGTAACCATAAACTCTGTCAGATGAGAAAATTTACTTGAGATCAGAGGAAATGAGGTAAAGATGTGTATACATGTATACAAGATTTGTGGATGGGGAAATTATTAACTGAGAAAGATCATCCTACTGGCTTCAATCTTTTTACTAAAGTATAAGGTTTTCTGGCTCACTTAGCTACTCCCCTGATAGCCTTCTAAAAGAGTTTATGCTAACATAAAAGGTAAAGTCTAAAATCCTATTAATATTTTAAGGTTCCTTAAAATAAGAAAAGGGCTAATTAATAAGTTTTTCCAAAAGATTTATACTAAAAAAATTTATCAAAGATCAAACAAGCAATAATTCTGATTTCTGAGAGAATATGTACAATTTCCTTGGGCTTTAGTTTCCTATAAAATGTTAGGGTTAGATGAGATGAAAACCAAGGTCACTTGTAGTTATAACGTTCTAAGACTCTGAAGTGTAGGAATACAGTATATGTTTTACAAGTACTTGTTGCTTTGTTTTGCTTACCACACACAAGGTTTAAAGGACTGAGAAGCACAATTTAGCTTACAGAGAAGGGAAGGAAATTACCTTACAAAAAAAAAAACTATGAGAATAGTTTTGTTTTGGGTATTCCCAAATCCAACAAAATCTCCATTCACTAAAATACTTTGGCAAATATAATGTTTTCTAGGTCTCTTAAGTAACGGAAATTTAGTTTTCCATTTTAGTACTTACATCATTGCTGGCATTCTTAAGCTGATTAAGCAGATAGTCAATTATATCACCACCATGATTGGCATGAATAAGACCCAACGCATAGAGACCTCCACCTTCCTGATAGGCTGATCCTGGAGAAGTGTCCTTGGGAAGGTATGTTGCCATTAACTGTAATGCTTCCTTCTCATGTCCCTGTAAGTGTGAGTCACGACAAAGATGTCAGTAAGAGAAAATAAGAAGACAAAAGACATAACATTTTCTATGATTACATCCTTTCCTCCAGAATGATCCTTTGCTGAAAGAGAAGGCGGTAGTGGTGCTGTCTCCCATACAATGAAAGGAAAGCCTTTAAGAGACCCAGTCATATCCTGGTTAGAAAATATCACAAATGCTTCAATTTTTTCCTTTGTTTTATAACATTTGCCCACATTCATCTTAGATATCACATAACATTTTAATTCATCCTTTCGATGACTTAAAAAGTCTTTATAGGAAAAAGATTTTTACTTTTTATTAAAAACAAACATACACATATGTATTTTAATATCTTACTTACTTTATCCTTCCCTGTAAGATGACTGATCTTAACAAAATGTACTTGTCAATGAATAAACTTTTATTTTTTCTTAACCCCAGAAAAATTGCTTCTGTTCTGATGTCTGTTCATACCGATCAATATACATTACCTTATGAATTACACCCAAACTGGCTGTAGCAGTAAATTTTGCCCAGTTAGTAGCTCTGGCCAACCATTCCAAGTTATCTCTGTAACAAAAGAAAACTTAGTAATGCTATTAGAAAACAAATGAATTCCACAAAGTTTTTTAACACTAAGGTCAAAAGCATTAAAAATTTACCTTGAACTCTTTCAAATCATTTTATTTTGTGAATCTCAAATTACTGCTAATTCTATTTTACCTCCTAAGTTCTTAATATTTTAAGGATTTTTCTAATGCATGATATATAATTCCACCATGAACAAAAGCAAACTTATATTAAATTTTCAGAGCTTAATATATGTCTTTCAAAAGCCTATAATCAAGCCAACTAATAAAGGAATCAATTTCACCTTAAAACAAGTAGGCATATGCAATAAAAAATATATAAAATAGCAAAAATATAATTTAGAATTCAAGATTGGTCAGTAGGGAAAGCTCTCCATATCCATGAAACAATGTCAACACATTCTTTGTTAAAGATGATTTTAAGCCAAGTGGAAATCATCAAGTATATTTACCTAAGAAACTGGTCACTGGTAGTCCCACAGTGCATAAAAGAGTTTGCTATAACTGTTGCTGTGTGACATACAGAATTCCGTACTGCATCCTTTAAAAATAAATACAGATTTTTTTATCATTGGCAAAGTATTCACACATGCACACGCTCACACACACTGTCAGAGGCCCTATTTTGTGGCAGGAACATGAATGAACAAATTGAACTGAGATTTAAAATACAGATCTTGGTTATTTCTTTATAAAGACTAAATAGCTAGTTTATAAAAACAATCAAGTCAAATAGTTTTACTGCAGTTTTAACCTGAGCTTAATAGCACATTTTAGGTGGGAATTTAGGTAGCACATTTTCTATTCTTTGGTTTCTGAATAGTTTCACTTGCCATTTCTCTTCAGCATCTTGCCCAAGGTCTCCAAGGCGTTGGGGTAACCTGAGGAACGGTGCTGCACCTCTTCCAGCCAGCACCTCTGGCAGCCACCAAATAATTTTATTTTTAACGACACATTATATTATAAAGACTAGCTTCAGATAATTGTCGTAAGTGCAAATTATGTGATTCTGTATCTTTTTACCATTTGTAAAAATTGTATCAAAAGTTTCAAAAAGCATTATTACATATGCTTCAATCAAACAACTGTTTAATCAGTGACTAGTATAGGGCTTTAAAAAAATAATAAATGACCTTAGGAAGGAGTATTGGGTAAATGAGAGGGAAGGAAGGAAGACTTTTCATGCTATATATCTTTGTATATTAAAACATTTTTGAACCAAA